AGGAAAAATTCAATTTTTCCTTGGCATAATGTTATAACTTATGAGGCTCTGAATATTTGAATTCATGACAGATCAATGAAGAATCCAGTGGAGGGCACTTTGAACTGATCTGTAATTATCAATTTTGTATTGAATTAATTTTGTTTGTAAGCTGCCTAATTTCTCCATACATTTATTTGTTAATGGATTGTAAAATACATGCCAAATAAAATATTACCCTAGAAATATCTGAACCTTGTTTTTAATTAATAAATAAGTCAAAAACAAACTGGTTCTTCAGTGTTTTATAAAATATTTCATGTTATAAGAAGGCAACACAGGCAAGGGTTTATTTTAATTGCCAGTATACAGCTTCATTACACACATTTTCCAACAGACAATATTGTTTCCGCATTATATGGAACACAGTAAAAACAAAACGTAAAACTGTTCACGCCCGGTAATTACATATATATACCGTGCTTCCGGGTTTCAATGCAATATTGAAAGCTTTGAGGTCATAGGTCATCATTTGGGTTACTTCCCATTCACCAGTGGAAAATTCTTCGGCCAAGTCTTACACAAGCCTTATCAAATCACAAATGTCTTGTACTTATAAAATATAAATACAATGCACATGCTGGCGAAGTATGGTTAATTTCCAATCAATTGTTTTAAAAATGGGAGTCCTAGAGTGTATCTCGACACTAGAGAGAAATACCGACCTTCAAAAACCACCTCAAATATCATATTAACTTTGATGAACGATCCATAATAAGTGGTCTGCCTTGAAGCTGGAATGTCAATAATCCTAAATAAACACAGAAACTTTGTATTGGGAACTCCAAATTAAAGCCAGTGCAAGTTTAAAATGTGTGAAATAATGCCGTGCTCGGCTGGTTTGAAACGTAACTGCCACACAGGCGAATGAACGTAGATATGCAAATGAGACTTTGGTGAACTCACTGAAGAGAGGTCTACCCAAGGTACATATACACCAAGTACAAAGCATTCAGGCTTGTAGTTTTCAAGAAGTCGAAAAAGTAAAACATTGACACGGATGACGACGGACAATCACTCATATGATAAGATCCGCTCGACAAAGTCGACAGCGGAGCTAAAAAGAGAACTACCGTTTCTGCTTTAATATATATTTTTATAGACTTGCTGACTGTTATGATTCTGAACATAAAACAGCGGTGAATGCGCTGCCCTGAAGGCAGAAAGATGTCACAGCTATTTCGCGTTCACCCCTTGTTTTACGCAATTAACAATTATATTTAAAGTATCTTTATGAACATCACGACAGACTTCAAGAAAGTCAACTGTTAATACAACCACAGTCAACAAATAGAAAATAGTTTTTTGTTATTTTTGTGTAGAAAAAAGACCCCTGGGCGTGTGCCCGGATATGACCTCAACTTCTTTATTGTGTCAAAAGTGGGGGGTGGGTAAGAGCCCATGCCAAATAAATACGGTACATGCAAGAATTAATGCACTTAGGTACAGTTTATGCACATTTCTGATTTGTTAAACTTTTTTTTTGTTAGACTTTTTCAATCATAGGCTATAGTAGCGGCTTCTGTGAGATCAGAATACAGGTTGATTGCTTCAGATGCAATCTATACAGAAATTAGATATTAGTAATGATTTATTTTTTAAGGATTCAGAATCTCATTCATCAAAAAGGTTCTTGTAAAGTATTAATATTTGAAGTATTTTCTGCACAATATGTGTATGTATATTACGAATAAAATGCAGGGTTAGACAATGCTATCATCTGTACCAAGTGAAATGTATATACTGAGGTTAGGTAGGCAAGCAAGCTTTATTTTTTTTTGTTCTTATATACATGTAGTTGCTGATTTAAGAAACAGGTTCCTCCATACCATAAAGTTCATTACAACAATTGAGAAATTTGATATTGAAAACGCTGTGGACATTCTAAAAACAAAAGATATACAATCACAAATTCATTTGGCAAAACATATCTTT